TGATGCTAGCAAAATAGAGCAAGACGATTCCACAAAAGCAGAGCAGTAAGGAGATATTAGTGTCCTGATAGCCCCGCCCTAAAGGACTGATAGCCCCACCCTAAAAGCGTTCCATGTGACTAGAAGTGAAGGAAAATCATTTAGAGGGGGGAGAAATGAGGGGTTATGATATTTGATTAGGCGACGCAGTGGCGCAGTAGGTAGTGCTGTCGCCTCACAGCAAGAAGGTCGCTGGTTTGAGCCTCGGCTGGGTCAGTTGGCGTTTCTGTGTAGAGTTTCCATGCTCTTCCTGCATTCGCATGGGTTTCCTCTGGGTGCTCTGGTTTCCCCCACAGTCCAAAGACATGTGGTACAGGTGAATTGGGTAGACTAAATTGTCCGTAGTGTATGAGTGTGTGTGGATGTTTCCCAGTGATGGGTTGCAGCTGGAAGGGCATCCGCTGCATAAAAACGTGCTGGATAAGTTGGCGGTTCATTCCGCTGCGGATTAATAAAGGGATTAAGCCGAAAGGAAATGTATGAATGAATGATATTTGATAAAAGATTCTGGTGGCTAATTAATTTTTACGAAGTAACGTAAAACGAAGTTGACATACATCGCTTATAAAAAGCACTATTATATTCATATAAAGTAAGTGTAAGTTTTCTTTTAATTCTGACTTTAAGCATTTAATAATAAACAAATGTAACTGTCACTATATTGATTGTTATACCTCATTTCATCATTTATTTTCTTCCCAGGCCGTCTGAGAGACATAGTACCTCCAGCGTGTTCTGGGCCTTCTCCAAGACCTCCTTCTGGTGGAACGTGCCTGGAACACCTCCCTAGGTAGGCATCTGAAACATACGCCTGAGCCACCTGAGCTGGCTTCTCTCGATGTGGAGGAGCAGTGGCTCTACTCCGAGCTCCTCCCAGGTGACAGAGCTCCTCACCCTATCTATTTAGCGTGCGCCCTGCGAAGGTAACTCATTTCAGCAGCTTGTATCCGAGATCTGGCCATTTTAGTCATGAACCATAAGTGAGCGTAGGAATGATTGTTATGTCACATAATTTAAAGTGGAACCTGTTCAACAATTAACTGTCAGAATGCACACTGGATTGGAAATAAACTCAGTTACAGCCCTCTTAACTAGAGAGGAGGATAAGATTTCCCAAAATGCTAGCCTTAACTACCAAATGCCATCCAACATGTCAAATATTTGCCTACTGTGTGTACTATGAACTGTCAAGAATGAATACACCGTAGTACAATACTGCACGGAATAACCATATAACTGCATGCAAATCCCAAAAAACACCCTTGCAACCACCAAACAATTCTTGCATCCTACAAATATGGTGTGTTTGTGTCTAATATGTTTGTAATTAATCCATCTGAAGCAAGATTTCTGATGCAAAATGCTACAGGAACATCTCTCAGTGCTTCAACATTTAGTCACTTCATTTGTTCAAAAGCTGCAGATTACCGGGAGGGTGTAAACAGCTCCAGCACAATCCCATCATTCCTTCAATCGGAACTGTGAAAGACTCGATTGAGTTTAATCCAGGTCCTAATCTGTAATCTCCTGTGAAGTCAAATGCAAATCCGTCTGACGGACAATTTAGTGCTTTGGTAGGTGTTGAGGAATTAAAGCGTTAGAAAAAGACAAAACCCGGTTCAAAAACATGCCTAAGAGTAAACATACTTCTGCTCCACACGATTTGTCATCCAAAATCAAACCTTTATTATCATGAACACAGTAGAGGGAATGCAAAACATATTCTCGATTGTCCCTTCTCGTTTCATTCAAATGTTTGCCTTCGTATTCACATACAGCCACGTTTAAACTTCTGTTTTGTGCACATGTCTCAATATATACGGTCCTTACAAGCAGTTTCATTTGCTTCGTATTTTCTGCAAATGGCAGTTCATTCGAATCTTCACCATTCTCAGAACCCTAATGTCACCGGAAGTTTTTATACAGAAATAGTTTTGCTCTCTGAGAGTTTGATACGAAAATTGTTCCTGTGAAAAGTCTGAAAAATAACAGATACATATTTGCTCTTTTCCTTCTCGCAAGTTTTCTATTGATGCAAACTAGCTTTGTGTCATCTGACTTGAAAACCACAATCTGGCAGTGTGTGTATGTGTGTGTGTGTGTTTATCGGGGGTGGAGTGTCTAATATGGGCGATATTCTTGCCATCTGGAAGCACTTCGCTTATGTTGAGTAACTTAGTTGAAATGAACAGGGATGATGTCATGATCCATCCACTGACCTCAAGTTGGTTGATTTCTGAAGACGATTTAATTATTTATAGGTGGAAGTTGCCTTTTGAAACTTGATCTGGGAACAGCCAGTGATAATTTTAACCCTTGACTGATACTCTACAAAATTCTGATCTAAAATCAGGAACAAACAGCAACTGATTCTGATTGAAAGCACTTTTCGAGAATTCAAAATTCAGAGCATAGGGCTTTGATCGTGTCCTTGATCATATTTTATGAATGACAGCCAAATCCAAAACTAGCCATCTTGGACCAGAAGCATACCCTGCGCAGGTACAGAGAGGCAAATGTCGATGCAAAACCAGTAGCCTACTCAAGGGGGCGATAGAGTTTCTGACATCTGTAATGTTATTCACTTGACTAGCATGTTCAACACTTCAAGGCTGCATTCCAGTCCACTTTTATGCTGCGTTCACACCAGACGCGGTTGAAACATCAGGCGTGAGCGACTTACATGTTAAGTCATTGCAAAAATGCAAATAGACAACCTGTGAGTTGAGGGTTTGGCGCGTTTCACGTAAAGCACTCGAGTTGATTCTTAACTTCAGCGGACATTTGAGCCGCATTAACCAATCATGAGCTTGCTCTTGTATTAGTGTGATTATGATGTAGCGCCTGTTGTTGGTGTCCTGAGTGGAAATCCTCTTATCGACACTGGACAACAGTTCATCAAACTGGGCTCAGAAGCACCGCTAACAACCATCGTCATTCAGGTATAGTTTATGGAGGAGTTGATGAATTTAGAGCTGAGTGCACTCAGACATGGTGCCGAACAAATATACTCTATTTTCAGCCTTCTTAAAGCACATAAAGCACAGCTACCCTCTCAAAAAAATTCGTTAGCCATTTAGACAGGAGCTCTGCCCATGACGCGAATCCACATCTATTGTGAAGTAAATTTGACGCATGAATGAAGCGAGCAAACTCAAAATGTTCACATGTCTTTTTACATGCAAATAGCATGATTTATTCATGCGTTCTGCATTTGGTGTGAACACAGCATCAGACATGCAGCCACAAACATCCCTTCCCGCTTCTCCTCAGGGGAATTCCAGCCACCATTTTAAAGTGCATTCCACTTCATCAAGTGAACAAGAGAAGTTTGCATGGATATACCCTAAATCCCTTGATTTTGATTGAGAGCGAGTCGGCATCATGGCTGCATCCAAAACCGCATACTTCCATACTGTATAGTACACTAAAATCAGTATGCGAGCCGAGCAGTATGCCTGAATTTATAGAATTCGAAAATCAGTATGCGAGAAGTACCTGGTGGACCTACTACTTCCGGCGAGATTCTGAAGTGCGCATCCCATGCACGCTGCGCTATCCCATGATGCCCCAAGAGAGAATTCATGAATGGAAGTGAAGCGATGCAACGGACGCAGGTAGGTCACGTGACCATGACAAAATGGCAGATGTAGTATGTCCGAATTCCATTCATATTTCTCTCATTCATACTGTATAGAACGTACCTTTCTAAACACCGAGTACATGTAAATTCAAATGCAGTACCTGCTAAGTAGTAGGCGGTTTTGGATGCAGACATTATGTCTCAGAATGCAATGCAATTGTGACGTCACAACAGAGTAGTTCTCAAGTGTTCAGGGCAAGGGTTCACAAACCCGGTCAAGGAAGTCCGTTGTCCTGCAGATTATAACTCAAGAGCCTCAACACACCTGCAAAGATGTTTCTAGAAAGCCTAGTAAGAGCTTAAGTAGCTAGCCCAGGTGTGTCTGATTGGGTTGAAGCTAAAATCTACAGGACAGAGATCGAGAACCCCTGGTTTAGGGCATTCCATTTAAACCCCTTCAGATGTTCCGCAGGTAGTGGACACTTATGAGGCGTAATCAATGACGAAGGCAAAGCACACATTGTCGTATTACTGTACACAAGAAGTGCTTATGATGTCTGTATTTGCATAGAGTATGTTTCTGGCCTTACCCAAAAATGATACACTAATGAATAAGATATTTGATGTTTACTAAGTATGGTGCTGTTCAAAACTTACAAAAGTGAAAGAAAAAACTATTTGAAGTAAACTGTTTTGCTTAAAAAACAATTAAATAAACATTTACGCTACATTTCCATAATTGCAACTCAACAAACTTTTACAACAGTTCTCCAAGATAAAATAAGGCCTTGGTTTGTCAGGGAAGTCCTCTAAAGCAAACATATTTGTGATTCACAACATATTGGAAATCATTTTGATATGTATAAAATGTACGAAAGTATAATAAGTGGAAAATTTCGAATACAAATTGTGACATTTGCATAGTCAAAATGACAGACAAGTGAAAAATTGTGTGGTTCGGCTATCATTGGGATCGGTTATAGGATGCTACAGTAACATGGTGACAAAGTTGTTGTGTAAACACACCCCAGTTGTGCTATTACATCTTTGGACCACACCGATCTCTGTGGTTAACAGTCAGCAAGATAAAAACTAACATCAAAAGCCAAACTTGACACGCCAACATACAGGTACAAAAAGCCCACATGGCCTCACGTCTGTTGCCACCTCCAGTACTCTCATTCTATAGTCAGAAATGTGTAGTAGCTAAAATTAAATTATAATCCTTTGGACAGTCTGGTGAAACGTTACTGCATACGTATCTGGGCTTTTTAAGGTTTTGTCCTAGCATCTGTTGTTAGGGATTAGTGGAGCGTCCTTAAACTCTGTTCTTTCATTCTGTAAAGAGCAGCACAGCTAAACTAAACATGGAAATGAGTGAAGCTTCATAACACTGTTTATCTCAGTTATTAGAGCAAGAGGTAGGGATTCACATATACACAAAAAAAAAAATGCAGGTATAGTAGGTTAGAAACCACGGTGCGCATATACTGTATGTAAAAAATAAATACATACTACAGACTGTACATACATCAGGAAATAAGGAACTGTTAGAAAATAGCTATGTCTGAATGCATAATTCCAGTACGTTTATAGGGAGACTTGGCAAGACAAACAGGTTAACCGATAACAGTTCTCACTTGTTAGTTTGCTAACTGTGTGTGTACGTTCACGGCACTTACTATTATTGTTGTGTGCCAGCACACAATCAGTTTTTAGATGCCAGAAAGGCATTGCTACTTTAAGTACAGTTCTACGCTCACACTTGACAGCCTCTTAAGAGAGCGGCGGAAGTTAAAGTTTAAAAGTTCAGAGGTACATTTCCATTGTCTATGTCTGGCGTCCGTGTCCGAAACAGTTGTGTGAGTGAAAACACTGTTGAAATAAGAACCGTACACTGCTTGGCCAAGAGCCTGACCCCTTCACCCTCTCTCGCCGTTTCTACCGCACCTACAAACTCCTTATACAGGTCCACAATCTCCTCAAGCTTCCCCAGGGCTTCATCTGCATCAATATCCCCATGACATCCTCCGCAGTCCGAACAGGGAACTCGCATACAGGTTGAGGCAAGTTGCACTAGAGCTCCAAAGCTGTTTCCGAGGGACATAAGAGCATCATCGGGTGCCCATCCTACCCGTGTGGCTCTCTGGCATCCTGAAGCCAACCTCCGTGCCTCTGCTTGAACTAGACATCTCTCGGTCTCTGAAAGCGAATGCCCGTTCACATTGCCATTTTCACATTCTCCCTTGCGGGTTGGAGGATATACCGCAGAAGGTCCTTTCTTTAACACGAAAAGAAGTTCATCGATATCTCGCTGCAAACAGGCATAGCCATCTTTAAGACCAGCACCTTTCTGGCCACTGACATAACGGCGCTCTTGCAGAAAGCGAAGCGGGTTATTTATTGGTCCGTGGACTAGAGGCAGAGATTCTAGATGTCTGGGCGGAATCAGGAGTGGACTCAGTTCTGAGGATGTGGAAAGAGGACGAGGGGAATCTCTGAGAAGGGACAGGACATTGGGAGAAGGACCAGAGATGGTTGCAGGGGAGGGAGTCAAAGTGGGCTGAGGTGGTTTACTGATGCGGTTTCGTTGGGAGAACTCATAGACAGTCAAATCTTCATCAAAGCTACAGTTGTCCTCGGTATCTCCGCTGAAACAGTTTGCGTAGACTGTATGGCAGCCACATGCCTCACGATGGGTCGGACTTGCGGAGGACAAAGAGGAAGCATTGTCAAGTCGAATTTCTGAAGGATTGCCTTTGTTGGATTGAGGTTGTTCAGAATTACAAGTCCCTAAATGCCAGTGCAACTCGGTGGCTTCCGTTGACAATTTCTGCCGCAGGTCAGGATGGCTTAATGACATTGGCGGCTTCCCATTGGTGTCTTTCACAGGAGTAGGAATCACTTCCTCTGGTCCATCTTTGAGTTTTACAATGACTACCTCAGCATCTTTCTCTTTCCAATTTATCAAAGAGGGCACTGATGTAGCCTTAGGGGATACCTTTTTGGATTCATGATTAACATCAGTCTCGATTGTTGCTTTATTGCCTGTTGATGAAATTGTGTTGCTGAGTGCTACTGTCCCCAAGATCTCTTGGGAACGGGTGAGGTACCAGGGCATATCCTGAATCTTTCCACGCAAGGCTGAGGCTGATAGGCGTCCAGATGAGCCTGTTCTGCTGGGGAATCTATTCCCAGTTTGAGCTGGATCTTCAGGAACAATATCTGCAGACTGTGCTGAAGGAGAAGGTAACGGAGATGGAGATGGGGTAGGAGTGGTTGAAGCACTTGTCGGTTTGACTGTATAGCTTTCAGCCTTTCCTTCAGTTCTTAGATTCTCATGACTTTGAGAAACACCTTTACTCATTGTAGAGGCTGGGGAGGTATTGGTACCATTTCTCTGAGACCAGGGGTGTAGAGAAAGGCCGTTGGGGGGAACTTTCGTTTTTTCCTCTGGTTTTTGAGACTGGGAATCAGCTGCCTTGGAGGATGGCTGTAAAGCAATGAACGACGGCTTGGGAGGTATTGGGGGCTTTGTGTTATTTTGGGGTAATTTATTTACTGTTGTTGTGATTTCAGTAGAGTCTGATGACTGTGGTTTTAAATGACTCTTGCTGTCTACTGTTATTTTCCCAAATTCAATTGTTCCTGTTGGCTTTTTCCAAGTTGGCTTAATGCCTTTACTCTCGGGTCCGTCAAGATCAACATAATTTGTAGTGGTCTTCTTTTCTAGACAGATTGGTATATGGTTGGATATGCCATTTTGATGTCTAGGTCCATTATGAAGAGTCTCTGGGTCTACTAACGTCTGTTGGGGAAGGGTAGCTTGGCGTACAGCTGTAATTAATGAGGAAGACATGGCTGGTCCAGGCCCAGTGACTGGTTTAAACTCCATGGTGTCTGGCTCCATCTCCAGGAGCTGTGATGATAGGTGAGAATTTTGCCCAGGGATGTCCCCATTACAGTGCTGGGCATTCTGAGCCATGGAGTGGTTAGCAGAGAAAGCTTTAGATTCCACAGATGTAGGTTTATTGGGCAAAATCAGTGAGGGCTGATGAACCTCCAAATCAGTGTTTTTAGACTCAGGGATTAAAGTGGTAAAATGGTTGGCAAGAGAAGGATTTTCATTGAGGTTTCCTCCTGAAGCTCTGTCCCTCTCTTTCCTGTCACCGAATTCAGGAGCTTTTGTCTTGCTTGCGTTAACCTTCATGTCATGAACACTTAAAGAAGAGTGCATGTTCCCAGAATCTGAGCTTTTCTCTGGGGAAAAAAAAATAAGAATGTGTTAAGTGGGATAAGAAACATCATTAAAACAGATATTAAAGACTTTAATGTATGTCTTGAGTTCCATACATGTTAAGTTTGATCAATAGCAATTACTGTGGCAATATTGCCTTTGTTTAGATTTATGTCCAATATTTCCAATGCCTCATGGCAATCTAAAGACCGAAAACCCTGCTAATGTGACATGCACAATAATCCAAGCAGTATGATTTAATGTAAATCAGTGGTCTCAAACTCAATTCCTGGAGGGCCATAGCTCTGCCAAGGTTCAACCCTAAGGATATTTTTTACTGGCCCTATCGGACCAATAGTTCAGATTTTTACTAACCCCACAAAAAAAAAGCCTTAAAACTTAAAAACTCTTAGCCACAAAATAAAAATGAAATGTGTTAAAATGTATGTAAATCTAGAATTTAAATATTTAAAAATGTTAATAATGGTTAATGAGCAAAATTCAAAGTGTTTTGAAACAAAAGATGGCTGAACTGCCAAACTGACGTCAAACTGTACAAAACATCACTTAATTTTTTTAGTCCTGGTGTACCCTCGGAAACGTCGACTTCCAAGAAGTTAGAAACAGATGTTTTCCTTTAGTGTTGTCATTTAATGTTGCCGCCATGTTCCTGTCTCTTCACTGTACTGGTTGATATGGAAAAAATAATGTGCTCACAACATCCAATCAGATAAGAGGAACCGAAAAGGCTTGAAAACACAAACTTTTTCTCAAATCTAAGACTATTTACACGCAATTGACAAATTAAACCAATCGGGCCAGTAACAATCTTGTCTACTGTCCCAAGCATCTCACACGCTGGCCCCGGGCCATCGGGCAGTCCTTATTGTTGAGCCCTGTCTTCAGATTTTATCTCCAACTCACACCTGCTTAATAGTCTCTAGTAGTCTTGAACACCTTGCCTTGCCCTTCAGGAATTGAGTTTGAGACTGATGATGTAAATGGTTGCAAAACAATAATCTAAACAAGTTTACAAAAGAAATACACATCTCAAAGAAGTTCTTGCATAAATACTAAACTTTTTGTTACTTCTAAACCACTTTTGCTAAGTGTTGGACCCATGATTTTACCTTGGTGTGTATTTAGAACTAGCTAAAATCGATCCACTCATCGACTGTGCTTAACTTGTATTGAACCCTGAACAGTTCTCATCAGAATGCAGATGTTTGGTGCACTAACCTGCAAGGCCTTGCTCTGTGATGGGAGGAGTTAGTCGATCTTCCGCATCAAAAAACTCATCCTCAGATTCCGAACAACTGTCTCTAAATTCTTTCGATTTTTCATGGATATTTGAGCACACCGTTCTCAACAGCACAGTCTGTGCTAGTAATTTCGAAGAAAGTCCCCGTTGATTAGCGTCATTTGGAAAGCTGTTTCCTTCTGCTCTACATGCCGGATGGTTGTGAATCTTATTGAAGAGTGCCTGAAAGTTCACCCCTGCCAATTTCGCATTGATGCTGTTAGTGGTGCACGAAGCTAACATGGCCTCAAATTCTGCTGACATGGCAGAAATACGACCGTCTTCATCATCTTCATCACTCAGAGCATCGTCACTGGCCGCAGGTGGACTCGGCAGGCTATCAGACATTTGAGAGAGCTCAGAAAAGCACAGACCCGAGTGGTCATCGTAGGTCAACTCAGAAGTTTTGCCTGAATTTCCCCCTTTGTCCAATTGCTCTGGCACCTCCAGAAGGTAAGGATGATGCACATCAAGACTTGAGGCGCCAGAACTGGGTTTCTCTTCCAAAGAGATATCTGTACGGCCAAGTCCACTAATGGCTGCCTTAATACTCTCCTCCAGGGCATTCAACGAGTTACTGGACAAACTGGAAAAGCTGCTGTTGACCCTTGGATCCGTGTACCAACCTGTCTCCAAAAGGCTATCCATTGTCGCCGCGTAATCTTCATCTCCAACAGACTCTCTTTTGCTCGCCCCATCTTCTTCATCTTCAGAAAATGGATGTGTTACAATTACTCGGACTCTTTCTGCTTCACCTTTGCCCTCGGGTTCCTCTCCGTCCTCCGTGCCGTCATTTGTGTGAGTGGATATAGTGTCCTCTGACAGCTGGGTGTCCAGCAGACCCTCCATGGCATAGTCATCCTCAGAACTGTCTTCTGAATCACTCCCACATCGAGAAACATACCCTGCGTGTACACACAAATACAGGACGTATTTGCAGAGCTCATTCCACATATCATTAAGCAACATCAAATCTTTTCCCGCTTTCCTACCTTCTTCCGCCGGGATGCGCCTCATTTTAGGTCTGGGTCCCCAGCGAAACACATTGATGTTGGGGTCTACCAGCAGTTTGCAGTATCCAGCCAGGAGACAAGCCAGATCTTTAGCTCCTACAGACTCCATTAACAAGGCTATAGGCTGAATGTTAGGGAGAGAGAGATGGTCAGATTATATGAATAGAAAGGTAAATTCACATCGAGTTGTTTTTATCCACACCTGGATGTCCCGAAGGCACAGTTCCAGCATTTTAGCCTGGTTTTATTTTAATCTCCTGCTAGACGTGTACACACCTGGATGTCCTGCAGGTAAATCTTGACCATGCTGACTCTGTCGGACTCTGACAGCACCTCTATTCGGGTGATGTAGTGGAAGTCTATGATGGTGGAGATCATGTTGAGCTGGTGGTTTAGTATTTGGCTGATCCCGTACCTCGCTCCCACCAGCAAACTCACCAATGACTCCCTGTCCTGCAGCTGGAATACACACACATCTGACTCAGACTAAATAAGAAAGTACATCTAAACAATGAGTAGAAATAATCTCCTATTCATTACAAATACTCAGCTTTTTTTCTAAAGCACTTTCAAACAATCACAATATGTGACAAGTGCTGGACATGAAAACAAAAAATACATACAAACATGCAAATACTCAAATTTCTTGAGTAAATTTTTAGTGTTGTATCTGTGCTTTTACTGCATTATTTTTCATCAACCTCCAGTCACTACTTCATGTTTATGTTTTCTTGTCTATCTGTGATTGGCTAATTAAGTGCAATCAAACATTGCGCAGAAACATCGTCAAGACATAGATGCTTTATAAATGTGGCAAACTTGTTAAAATTTAAAGAATTAAACGTTTCAAGGAAGATGCAGAATTTTTACAAGCAATGAGACCGTTTGGACTGAAGTGACTGATGAGAAGATGAAGGACACCTACTGTACGATGACTGAAAATGCCTAATGCCCTTAAGAAATTTTTATGTGTTCTTTTTCCTATTTTAAATCTTTTTTTCTGCCAAATCCTGTCGTTATTTAAATGTATGAACTGTGTTTATCATAAAACTGTAAAACCACCTCTCAAACGCTTTTTTGAATGCGAAAACCAGAAAAAATGTAATCAAATTTAAATGAAAAGTTACGTAGGAAGTGTTTATGTGATTGGCACAACAGGAGAATAAATTTCAGTTTTAATGTGCCAAAAATTCTGTACAAAAATTTTAGATGCAGTGTGCAGTAACCTTTAATCAATAGCTAAAAGCCCTACAGAATGTTACATTTGCAAACATATGCACAAATTTTCGTTTTTAGGCACGAAAAACTGAACGAAATTAAGCCCAATGGATTTTTTTTTTTAAATGACAGTGTATCAACACGATTCACACAACAGAAGGTCGAATTTTTTTTGTTTATAACTTGTGAAAATAATGTACAAAAATTTCAGATTCAGTATGCAGTAACCTTTAATCAATAAATAAATGCAATACAGAATGTTACATTTGCAAACACGCGTACAAATTCAATTACATTTTTAGGATGCAGAAAACGGAAAGAATCAAAACCCAATAAATTTTTTTTTAAATGACAGACAAATTTCAGAGGCAGTGTGTCAATACGAATTGCACAATAGGAGGTCAAATTTATTTTTTTATATGCCTAAAATTATGGAAGAAATATTTGTTTCAGTTTGCAATAACCTTTAATCAATGACTAAATGCACAATATAGAATGTTACGTTTACAATCGCGCACAAATTAGCTTTTTTTAATGCAAAAAAAAAGAGAAAAAAAATTATCCGATTTGAATTTTTTAATGACAAAAAGTTTCATAGGCAGTGTGCCATTATGATTGGCACAATGGGATGTTAAATAATTTTTTTACGTGTCAAAAATTCCAGACGAAAATTTCAGATTTATTGTGCAATGACCTTTAATCAATAACTAAATGCACTACAGAATGTTACGTTTGCAAACACATACACAAATTCGCCTTTTCAGATGCGAAACACTGAAAAAAATCTATCCCGATTGACATTTTTTGTAATGATGGACGAATGTTTCGGCGGCAGTGTGTTGATCCACTAAAACAGGAGGTTGAATTTATTTTTTAAAATGCCAAAAATTCCGGATGAAAATTCCGGATTCAGTTTGCAATAATCTTCAATCAATTTCCATATGCACTACAAAATATTTCGTTTCCGATCACACGCACAAATGAGCTTTTTTGGATGCGAAAAAATATAAAAATACCAAATCAGATTCAATTTTTTTATGACAGATGAAAGTTTTGAAGGCAGTGTGCCAAAACGATTGGTACAACGGAAGGTCAAATTTATTTTTTAACGTCCCGAAAATTATGAAATCAGTATGCAATAACCTTTAAGGAATAACTAAATGCACTACAGAATGTTACGTTTGTAAACACGCACAAATTTGCCTTTATAGATGCAAAAAAGCTGAAAAAAAGTCAACCTGATTAAAAATTAATTTTAATGATGGACAAAAGTTTCGATTGGCATTTTCAGAGGCAGTGTGTCAATACGAATTGCACAATGGGAGGTCAAATTTATTTTTTAATATGCCTAAAATTATGGAAGAAATATTTGTTTCAGTATGCAATAACCTTTAATCAATGACTAAATGCACTACAGAATGTTACATTTGCTAACACAAGCACAAATTAGCTTTTTTGTATGCAAAAAAACTGAACCCGATTTATATTTTTTAATTGAAGGACGAAAGTTTCAGAGGCAGTCAGTGTGTCGATTGGTACAACATTTTTGGCAAGTAATGGTACTTTTACTTGAGTCAGATTTTTCAGTACTCTTGTCTCTGGATAGATGCTCCCATGTAGTCACAAACAAATCAATCGCATGAGCTGTTTAATGAATCATTCTCAAGCTTCAGGCCATTTGCACGTCACTGAAAGAGATGCTGCTATTTTAGCCAAATCTGTTGCTTTCTAGAACAGCCAGCTTATGTAACATGCTTAAAAAAACAACACTGGGGAGGGAAAGGATTTTGTCCAACATAACATTTTCCTAAAATAAAAAAGGTAAATGCAACCTATCTGTGCCCTGCAGATTGAGTTTGTTATCTGAGCCCAATGCGGCAGATGGACAGAACTCTCTCACCAGCATGGTGGCGTTGTAGCTTCTCCCGCTGTATGAAATCAGCTCCGCCATCTGGGTCAGATAAGCCAACCGGGCCTGAGACACAGAAATCACCTGAAAGAGTCGAGAGAGAAGAAGATGAATAATAGAAACAAATACATTTTCATCATGATTGAAGTATGAAAAACAAGGATATAACTATACATTATAAGCTACTGTATGAGGATATCCGATATGAGCTTTAACTGCAGCAGTGTATAGTGCAGGGGTGCCCAAACTCTGTCCTGGAGGGCCGGTGTCCTTCATAGTTTAGTTCCAACCCAAATTAAACACACCTGAACCAACTAATTTAACTTTATAGGTATACATAAACTTCCAGGCAGATGTGTTGAAGGACCTACCTACCTATCTATTGTTCTGTCTGTCTGTCTATCTATCTATCTATCTATCTATCTATCTATCTATCTATCTATCTATCTATCTATCTATCTATCTATCTATCTATCTATCTATCTATCTATCTATCTATCTATCTATCTATCTATCTATCTATCTATCTATCTGTCCGTCCGTCCGTCCGTCCGTCCGTCCACATAAACACCCACCCATCAATCCATCCATCCATCCATCCATCCATCCATCCATCCATCCATCTATTGTTCTGTCTATCGTTCTATCTGTCCCATCCATCCATCCATCCATCCATCCATCCATCCATCCATCCATCCATCCATCCATCCATCCATCCATCCATCTATTGTTCTGTCTATCGTTCTATCTGTCCCATCCATCCATCCATCCATCCATCCATCCATCCATCCATCCATCCATCCACCCATCCATCCACCCATCCATCCATTGTTCTGTCCTATCTATCTATCTATCTATCTATCTATCTATCTATCTATCTGTCTGTCTGTCTGTCTGTCTGTCCGTCCGTCCGTCCGTCCGTCCGTCCGTCCGTCCGTCCGTCCGTCCGTCCGTCCGTCCGTCCGTCCGTCCGTCCGTCCATCCATCCATCCATCTATCTATCTATCTATCTATCTATCTATCTATCTATCTATCTATCTATCTATCTATCTATCTATCTATCTATCTATGTATATATCTGTCTGTCTGTCTGTCTGTCTGTCTGTCTGTCTGTCTGTCTGTCTGTCTGTCTGTCTGTCTGTCTGTCTATCTATCTATCTATCTATCTATCTATCTATCTATCTATCTATCTATCTATCGTTCTGTCTATCGTTGTCTATTGTTCTATCTACTTTCTTTCTAGCGTTCTATCTATCATTCTATTGTTCTGTCAATCATTTTATTGATCTGTCTATCGCTCCATCCATTCATCCATCCAGATAGATATTAGAGTGTTGAGAAAAGGTTTTTTTTTCTCTCTAACCTTTTACAACAGTAATTAGTGGGGACGTTTTTGAAGAATCATGATTTACTTGTAAACCATCTGTGCGCACTTTTCACACAAATGTGTGTGCATATGCATGCTTAGTGAATGAGTCCCAATGTATTCACACTTGTTATACAATCAGTACTTCTACGTCACATATGAGTCCCCAAAAAACATGGTAAGGAGCATTTTGAAATGAAACTGAAGGCTGATATCTGAACACAAGTTGCCACAAGAGATGCACTTGAGCTTATGTGAACACTAGGTGGAAACAGTAATGCATCTCGGCTAACCACTTGTGATTGGATCACAACAAACACTATTCAACACCAGTCGGAATAAGGAGTTGTGTTGCATTGTATAAAAGTGGTTTGTTTAGTATTGACCTTTAAATCTAAATTATACAATTTTGACCTTTAAAATGAATTAAATAAATAAAAAGAACAGCTTTTATTCTAAACGAAATAAAACAAATAAGACTTTCTCCAGAAGAAAAAATATTATAGGAAATACTGTGAAAAACTCCTTGCTCTGTTAAACATCATTAGGGAAATATTTGAAAACATTCATTTGAAGGCTAATAATTTTGACTTTAACTATATAAAAAAATGCATGAATAAAGTAACCTTCTGCCGTGGTTCTAGCAGGGCCTGGATCTTCTTCATGTGGTGGTTGAGAGCTTTCCGTAGGTCCTTTTCTCTCATGTTCCTCAGCAGAGTTGGAGAGATGAAGCTCTCTAAGCCAAACTCCTTTCTAATAAGCACACATACACATTAGAAATGACTGTATTTTGTAATACAGCACAAGTCATTTGGAGTGTGTTTGTCTCTTACACAACGCTCTTAACAGATGCTCTCATGGTCTGTCCGCAGCTCGCCAGTTTCTCGTGCATGTGCAGAGCAGCGAGTCTCAGCGCTGTGTTGCATTTCATCTCTACAGCGTAGCGTTCCTTTAACACATCTCCAACACTCTACACACACATACAAGTACATGAAAGTAGCCGTCAGTGGCACATTTAAGTGATATTTCACCATGTGTTACCTGTTGGAAGAGGTACTCAAAGGCCATAGGATCGTCCTGCATGAGCTCCACTGGGTCTCTGGGGATGAAGCACACCCTGAACAGACACCTGTAGTCATGAGAATCCTTCTTCTGGACCACCTAAGAAAAAGCAGGAACACGATACAGCGGTTTATTACAAACTTAAGCCATGGGTGTACATCGTAAATGCAGACTAGGTTTGTATGGGAGCTTATAGTTATATATACAGTACTGTGCAAAAGTCTTAGCCCCCTAGTTACAGTATAGTTGTTGTTTTAGTGACATTATATGTTACTTATCATTCTCTTTGTTAAAATACAACCAGAAAATACAGGTTCTAGTTGGATTTTTTTTGGGGTCTAATTGTTTAAGACATTTGAAAGAAAGTTAGAGAAACACGGAAGAATGAACGAAAAATACTGGGGTTTCTGTTTTGTTTTGATCTGCATTTCTATCAATGTTGCCTGAATTGATGGGATTGTGAATGCTGAAAAGTACAGACAGGTTTTAATTCGTCATGGAATTCCTGCTAGAAAGCCCCTCATTTGTAATAGTTTTATGTTTATACATGATATTGATCCCAAACAATGTAAGGAAATCATATTTGGAGAGGAAACAGCTGATGAATCAAAGAGTCATGAAACGGCCTCCACACAGTCCAGACCTGAATATTATCTGCAGTATGTTTGGGTAATATTATAGTCAGATTCACCTGCATCAAGTTTTGGAAGCTTATTGTTAATAATATGATTTATTTTCAGTATTACAGCATGCTGAGTACAATGCGACTGACAACATCAAACCTGAAAACATCAGACAAAATAATGAGTGAAATATTATAAAAACATCACATTTACTGTATATATCAAATCCAAAACCAAGTGATGGTAACAACTAACCCTCATCATTCAGTTGGAAGACCAAAATGATGCATAACATTTTCTAATAAAGAAACCCAGAAATTGCTTGAAATTGCAAAATATTGATCAAAATATAATAATTGATAATAATAAAAATATTTCCTTACATTTATATAGCGCTTTTCTGGGCACTCAAAGCGCTTTACACAATAATGGGGGATCTACTCATCCGCAACTAGTGTGCAGCATCCACACAGTGATGAAGCCAATTATGATATGGCGAGGGTGAGGAAGTCATGAAGGACAGAGGCCAGTGGGCAGATTTGGCTGGGATTCTGGGGTGAAAGCCCGACTCTTTTTCGAAGGACATCCTGGGATTTTTAACGACCACAGAGAGTCGGGACCTCGGTTTAACGTCTCATACGAAAGAAAGAATATATTTGGGAGCATTTGTGCGAGTGCATATAATTGTTGCCGTGTGACCAGTTTTCACAGCAAAACATTCACCGCATGCGCAGATTTAGGAGACATTCAAGCATTAAGCATCTTTGCACCTAAAAACACCAAACGCAGCTTTTAGGAATGATTTAAAACAGTTGACATGTCAACTTGCTGCAGTAAACAAAGCCCGTAATGCTTGCCCCGCCTTCAAACTCTTTTTATTGGCCCACTGCACTAGAACAGAATGCGCATGGATTGGTTAATATCAGCTGTCAATCACTCAGCTACAGCCGTGAAAATGTAAAGGTCTGGATCCGAGAGAATGAACACAACACTGACAGATTTAGTTTTAGAAACCACCAAAAGTTACTAATAATCTGATTAGTGATCATGTGCTGAATATCAATCCAGCATTTACACTTTTCGAAGAGTGGATAAAAGACTTCCAGTGGTTAAAGTCCGCTATGAAAATGACTAAAGCGTTCATCGTACAGCCAGTGGGACGGAGTTTTCAGGTAACAGTGTTTGCCACTGAATCTACACATTAAGCACGAGATGTTCAATTTAATCCTTCATTTAATCGTCACGATGCTGTCAGTTTGCGACTGATACCACATTCACCATCGCCAAAGAGCATGCAATCACCGAGATGAAACTAATATTGCAGCTCATGATAGACCGTTACTGCTATTAAGATGACATATGCAAATAATAAGCTATATGTCAATATCATCTGTGCAATATCAGACAGCACCCGTGAGAAAAGCAACAGTTATTATTGTTAACTCAGTTAATCTTATTCACGTCAAGCAGTGTGTGCAGGGCCAGTGAGCGCATTCAGATTTTTTTGTTAGTTTTGATCAGAGTTAATTTCAAACGCAATAAATCTGTTCATATAATACGTGTATTAAATGTGCTCATCATTTTTGGTGGGTGTGACTAAATGTTGTCTGGTGCGTCTACATTTTATAAGTTAGGAGCACCGGTGCTAACAAGAAAACAGGTTCATTTCGAGCCCTGTTTTAATCCTCCCTTTTTTTTTTAATCTGTCAAAGAAATGAAGTTTTTATGAATTTAAATCAATGTCAGAAACTTTTATCAGTAATATTTTGCTGTGTGTGTGAGTGTGTGTGTGTGTGTGTGTGTGTGTGTTACCTTCTGTATGAGCTCCTCGTCGTGCAGCAGCAGTAGTTTGGAGATGTTATACTGCTGTTCCAGGACCAGAGCAAAATGCTCAATGCAGCGAATGGACAGCTTCTCTTTCAGGGTCAACACGATGTCCTGCACATGCAGACAGTCAATACAAATCTTTTGCTGAATGGATCCACCAATTTTGATGCTCATAAATGTTCATAAAGTCCTCAAGCTGCAGGAATGAGGAGGTTAGCTGAAGGTGCAGCTGTCGTGCAGTGAGGGGTTTGCATCTTTAATACACGATGACAGTGTTTGCATTTATTGAACGGTAAAAATGATTAATTAATCCATATGAAGCAGTCATATAAAAGTCACATCAGGTCTTCAGTTTCGGGCTCAGGTGAGCTTTGCACTCACACTACAAGCGTACCGCGCTAAAACTCAACCGAACCGCGCTCTGGCACACCCATTCCAACCGGCCAACTGAACTGCTCCTGGGCCCGATTCGGAGCACTCACACTAGTGAAACAAACCGGCAAATGGGGGTCAAATGTGCCTGGATATGGTTCGGATAGCCTAGTGTGAATACACTATGTTAATAAACCACTCCATCACTGAAAGCCAGTGGCGGTACTTTTGGGTGGGGGCGGGGGGGTCTGGATCCCCCATGTAAACAAGCTTGGCCCCCCTCCAGCCCCCCTAAATTTAGACGCTTATTTTTGTGTCACAACTAAAATGGCACAAAGAAGTGAGATCAGCCATCGGTGGTAGATGGAGATATGACTGAGACCTTTCTTGCGCACTCTTGTTGTCACGTGCACTCGCTCTCTCTGCTTTCCAGTTATTGCACAATGATGGTTTGTTCTGTAGACTATAAAAAAAAAGCAGCCTAAAGGGGCTAATAATTTTGTTCTTAAAATGGCGTTTAAAAAATTTATAACTGCTTTTATTCTAACCGAAATAAAACAAACAAGACTTTCTCTAGAAGAAAAAATATTATCAGACATACTGTGAAAGTTTCCTTGCTCTGGTAAACATAATTTGGGAAATATTTAAAAAAGAGAAAAAATTCAAAGGGGGGCTAATAATTCTGACTTCAACCGAATACCTACATACATACATACAGTACATACACCTTTTTGCTGAAATAATATAATTTTCCAACATAATTTAATTTCTCAAAAGTTTTTAATTCATCAAATTTTAATAAAAGTTCTTTTGAAAGTAAAAGAAAAGTAGTTTAGTATAGTAATAATAGTAGAATAGAACAGTAAATGTGTAGTAATAGTAGTATAGTAACTTTTACTATAGTGCTCAATAGTAAAAGTGTACTATAGAATAGTAACCATAGTATCTACAGACCTTGACAGTTGTGGTCTTGTGAAACTTGAAGGCTTTGGTCTGGCCGTTCTCCAGGTAGACCTTCAGAACGTTGGGCAGGAAGAGAAGAGAGTTTCCCTGCAAACAGCGAATGAAACGAGGCTTATTAAAATCGCATGCTATCATGTTTAGTATGAGTGTAGGTATTAAAACACTGAGGTGGTTTATAACATGCCTTGTGTCCTTGTAACTCATATTTAACACAGGGTTTCTGCAGGTTTCATCAAGTTAAATTTAAGACTTTTTAGGCCCTTTTAAGACCATACGGAATGACGTTTTAGGCTTATGCAGGGTTAAGATTTTTTTTTCTAATGGCCTGGTATTATCATGAGGAATCATGTAATTGTTTTTAGTATTTTTTTTCCTTATTAGGGAATTTAATTTGGGGAATTTGCAGTAAAAATGTCAAACAGCTGTTGTCAATTGTACCTCTTCGCAATAAAAAAAGTTCAAAAGTTCACACTTAGCTGAGGATTTATAAAAGCTTGTTTGGCATGCTGTCCCGGGAGAGAGCCCCGAGCTCGAGGACTCCTTGAGCCCGGGGCTTCCTCCCGTTTGGCAGAGCGAGAGGGGAGCCTGAGCTCGGTGGATCTCAGAACTCCCCTGCTGCGGTAGCTAAGGGAACACGAGGGGTTAGATAAATGCTTAGTTGTTATGTATGTTGAATGTCTTTTTGGATGTGGATGTGGAACCAGGGCTGGCAGTGTTCTTGCTGTGGGGCTCGCAGTGCTAACCACTGGGCCGCCGTGTCGCCCAATCAGAGGTAAAGGAGGAGAAAAGGGGAGGAGAGGGGTTTCTTCCAAACGAAGATGAAGTGAACTGAAAACTGTGGCTATTTATAGTAGCTTAGGGCTCGTTTGATTGGAAGATATTGATTAGCAAATGCGAGACCGGCCGTGATAAATCATAAGCACGTGATCCTCCTGAAATTAGTTTATGAATAAACTTTACATAAAAATAAAAAAATAAGGTTTTATTGAGATGTATTGTTGGCGATTGGATGAATATCGTCCCAATTAAGTAACTTTATTTAGCAAAATTAAGACCTGTTTAAAATGAAAAAAGACCTACAACACAACATTTCAGTGGATTTAATACTTTTTAAGGCCTAATATTTAGTTTTTGAAATTTAAGACTTTTTAAGACCGAGCGGACACCCTGTAACAGGACTTTTGACATTCAAAATAGAGGGATAGATTAGGGCTAGGGCCATTTAATAAGCGTTTTTTTTTTTTTTTTTTTTCTTTACCACCAATACCAACATGTATGTGTGTGTTTACCTGAGTGTGTCCGTTGACGACCACCTCTTCTGCAAAGCGCACTTTAACGGGGTTTCTCCTCAGGCGAGCTCTCTTCTCCGCTGTTATGAATGAAGACTTAGGATTCTGGAAACAAAAACAAAGTTCTTTAAATTCCAGCAGCTGTCTGTGAAACACAAAAATGATGTATAATCGTTCTGGGTAACACTTTATAATAACTACACACTATAAATCATTTATTAAGCATTAGCAAATAGTGAACTCATTATGTGTCAAACATTAACTCTACATTAATAAACATTAGTAAGCAGTTTATAACTGCAGCTACAAATGCTCCATTCTTGACTTATAAGCATGTATATAATGTGGTTAATAATTGTATTTTCATACTTAGTTAATGATTTATTTTTCATTACTAAATTAAGTATCGCATTATTTACAAACCAGTTTAGGGTTTTTAGGATCATTCAGAATGAGTTAGTAAATGATTAATAAACTATTGAAATCAACGATTATATGTCTTATTATTCAGGCATATACTAATAATTACTATATATGTTAATAAATGCTTTATTAACTCAACTTCATGCAGTTTTGTGACCTAATCTAAAGTGAGGACTATTCATGCTTTATAAATCCCTTATAAATGACAAATAAAGGCTCAGTTAAATTCTAAACAGGAAAAATGACATTATTTATTCCTATTCATTTAAAGATACACAAATGGAACTGTACTTCAAATGAAAAATAAATCTTTGTAAGCTTATCTAAAATAAAATTACTGTAGAGTTTAATTATTGCATCTTATTATAATGTTAAATTATTATATTGTTGTTGTTTTATCCAGTTTTATGTCATATTTTGACACTTCTGTTATTTGGCAATGTTTAAACTTTACAGTAATTTTACTTTTTAGAAAAGATTGCAAAGATTATTGTTCATTTGATTCTGAGCCTTTATTTGTCATTTATAAGGGATTTATAAAGCATGAATAGTCCTCACTTTAGATTAGGTCACAAAACTGCATGAAGTTGAGTTAATAAAGCATTTACTAACATATTAGTTAACTATTAGTATATGCCTGAATAATAAGACATATAAACGTTGATTTCAATAGTTAATTAATCATTTACTAACTCATTCTGAATGATCCTAAAAACCCTCAACTACTCCTAAATACAAACGGTTTGTAAATAATTTGATTCTTAATTTAGTAATGAAAAATAAATCATTAACCAAGTATGAAAATACAATTATTAAACACATTATATAGACGCTTATAAGTCAAGAATGGAGCATTTGTAGCTGCAGTTATAAACTGCTTACTAACATTTATTAATGTAGAGTTAATGCTTAACAGATAATGAATTCACTACTTGCTAATGCTTAATAAATGATTTATAATGTGTAGTTATTATAAAGTGTTACCTAGTTTGGAATACGATTCACACCATAAGACAATCTCAAAACATTATGGATTTCTGAGTGGGCTTGACAAACCACCTATAGAAACACTCTTCTTTGTATATATAAAACCTCCCGCCTCATAACTCTAGCTAGCACTTATTTCTCTGATCATTGACAGTTCCATTGTATAATCAGCACTTGTTGTGTGTATTGCCTCTTCTTCTTGAATCGCTGAATGCCTCTCCTCAAGTCTAAATTGAAATGTGAACCATTTCTTGATTGCGCCTTTACAAACTGATGCAACAAACAAAAGGAGGAATAATCTTCAGTGTACACACCGTCATGTTTCTGAGGATCGTCATGGTTACAGAGTCCTGGCAATCCCTGAGGGCGGAGCATAACATGATGACATCATTATAAAATCATGTCCTCGTCGTATTTACCAGCTTGGTACAATACAAGCAAAGGAACATTAATTCAGCAGAGTTATTTTAGTAGTGTGTATTTTAATAATCTGATCAGTCACCTAATCATCTGCTCCGCGTTTTCAGGGGAAAGATCATCTATGGCTTTATTGTTCACTTTTAATATCTGATCTCCAGGAAAAAGATGACCGTCTGCTGGGCCACCTACAAATAAACACACACACACATATATCAAATATTACGACACAGCTCGAGTTTCCTGCATTTTGAACTTCAATGTAAGTTGATATTTTACATTCTTCAAGTCAAGTACTTAGAAAACAAGATTTATTCATGAATCAACTGCACAGTATGAATAATATGCCACAGTTTGATGCTTTGTTTAAACATTAAATATACGTAATATATATAGAAATGGATGCTATAAAAGTGTGACTGTGAAAGTTGTTTTGGTTTCATGTGGATGGAGTGTATTTGAGTCTGTATTTTTACATTTATTTGCTGAGTTTACATTGAAATTACCCCAACATACAGAGCTCAGCATAACTGAGCACACCCCATTCTGAAAATGAATATTTTTATTTATTTCTCAGTGATTAGATTTTGGTGCATTTGAACAAAACAGATTTACTAAATGGACATGTTTATTAAACTAATATTTCAGTCACCTAACATCTTCAGAAATAGAAAGATAATCCATTTAAACTAAAGCTAAATATTGGGGGAAAATTACAACTACAAAATTTAAACTATTATTTTAAATATTATTAAATAATTTAAATATTATTTTCGCTTCTCTTGATTTGTCCTCTTTTTTTTAAATTTGTATTTAATATTGTTCTATACCATATACATTTTTGACCATTATCGCCAGTTATTATGTTAGATCAGCTCCATATTCGGCTTCAGTGCTGATTAATCTCATGGATATGCACAAATATTATAATGTATAGCATCTTATAGAAAATATAGGCTGAGCACTGTATATCTGTATTATTCATTCATTCATTCAGCTTACTCCCTTATTCAACAGGGGTCGCCACAGCGAAATGAACCGCCAACTATTCCAGCATGTTTCACACAGCGGATGCAACCCAGTACTGGGAAACACCCATACACTCTCACATTCACGCCTATACATATACGACCAATTTAGTTAATCCAATTCACCTAAAGCGCATGTGTTTGGGACTGTGGGGGACACCAGAGCACCCGGAGGAAACCCACGCCAACATGGGGCGAACATGAAAACTCCACACTGAAATGCCAACTGGACCAGCCGGGACTCGAACCAGCAACCTTCTTGCTGTGAGGCATATATATCTATTATTAAAATGTGTTGCTTTGCAAAATTCCTCTTATGCATCAACCGCTCAACAAACTTGTCTTAGCATAACTGCGAGCAAAAGTCGTAAGTAGCACACTCCACTAATGAATGCGTGCTAAAAAAACTTTTCGAAGGCGCAAAGAGTGTGAAAGTTGCGATTGTGGATTTATTATTCATGTCACGTCTGCTTCTTGTGTGTGTGTGTGTGTGTGTGTGTGTGTGTGTGTGTGGAGTGTCTGACTGGGAGTCTCTGCTCTGCTCTGTTCTGCCATTTACACTCATTTGTCTCCGAGCCAAAATACACACACATTCACACACACACACAATCTGCCCTTCTGCCCTGACAACATCCCCTTATTCCCTGACGGTTCTCAGGCCTGCTAGAATAACCACCAATGCCTGGCAGATCTCTCTCTCTCTCTCTCTCTGTCTCTCTCTTTCTCTCCTTTCACATAATTATGTGCAGTAGGGCTGCAAGCGTCTCCCTCTGGGCTTTTATCAGCTGTTTCTGCTGCAAAAAAAGAGAGAAGTCAGCACTGCGGGATGACTGTGTGTGTGTGTGTGTGTGTGTGTGAGAACGTACACACACTAGCTTTGCTGCAAGATCCAGTTCACTGTCTACTATCTGTATAGACAGCTGCCTTCCGAGGAGACAAAAACGGAGCTTTATCTGTGGCTGATTTGGATTTGGAGCGTCAACAAAAGGCGGGAAGACCTCCATTCAGAGATATTTCTCTCTCTCTCTGTTTTCATGCACATTAAAAACCGTGTCAGCTGAGTCTCTGTAACTGGGGCAATGATGTTGACGTGCGAGCTTGAATGTGATTCTCTGGCTCTTTTACTTATGAAATGTATTTGTTTGGCCATCTAGTTATGTTTTAGAATTGAAAAAGTCTAGCTGTTTTGCAAACGCTCTGCAGTGTTTTTGCAGTCTTCTCCTAAGAGAAAGATCAATTCTGAAGTGCTAAAACAAGTTTAATCTCAAAAGCGGAGTACTAGTGTCCATGTAAATGTGAACGTGCCAGATGAAGTCGCAAGCTGTCAAAGACAGTCCATTTCTCTGCCTTTAAGCTGCTTCCATGAGCCCTCAAATGTTTCATTAAGGCCCCGTTTACGCTAATGCGTTTTCGTTTTAAAACGCATAGGTTTTGCTACGGTTACGCCATCCGTTCACACTAAGCTGGAGTTCTCGAGCACCAAAAACAGAGCGTTTTGAAAACGCTGGAGAGGCCGCTTTCATTCTAAAACGTTGCTGCTCCGTCTCAGTGTGGATGTGGGAAAACGGAGACATCTGGAAACGGAGGCGAGGCTGCAAACGTTCGCCTCTCTGATTGGGGATTTTCCTTAATATTGAGTAGCCTACGCACACAGTTCAGTCTCGCATCCTCTCCTTGTAAGTTCAGACTTCGCAAGTTTGATCAAGGCTGCAGTCTCCCCCTTCTCAGTTTGATATGAAAAACAGACTACCGAGGACACGGGGAAATTTTTTAAAGGGAACAGTGTACTTTATAACTTCATTTACATCACCTTGGCTACGTTGTTTCACTTTCTCAACAATAAAATGTAAACATGATTTGAGGAACTGCCTATTTTCATTTTGATATTAGCAATTTAACAGACAGCAGAAATGTTGAGGCGTCGTGCTGCATATATGAGCGTCATCTTCACTGTGTGGATATTTATAACTAAATGGAGCTGATAACAACTGTCTCCTTTCAATTTCAGTGAAAATACGAAACACACCCTCTCTTTTGCTGAATATCAGTTTTAATTATCGATAATGGCCAATATAAAAGTATAACAGACAATAAGTTTATACCTTATAGGAAATAAAGGCAAGCGATCAGTCAATGTACATGGATTAATCATTAACTTATCTTTGCGCTCAGCCAAAACACGTTACCTGAGAACAAGTAATAGATTCCAATGACCAAAGTCGGGGAATATGTTGTTAGATAAAGACAACCAGATGAATGAAATATCACGTTTAGCAAATATAGTGAGATTAGATCCAGCGGGAGATGCTTGATGAGCTGTCCGACTAGCAGAGCTCTCATCTGAGTAGATAGGCTGCAGCGCTTGCCTGAAAGTGTGTGTGTGATGTTCGTGATGTGCGTTTTCAGCGTTTTGGTGTGGAGGGAGAGCTGTTCAGAAACGCTGGGTAAAACACGAGTGTGGACGCGGATCGTTTTCATTCTAAAACGCCGTTTTAAAACTCAAATGCACTAGAGTAAACGGGGCCTAAGTTTGACGTGTTTACCCCCTACAGGCAACTTTTGTAAAGCGTCTGCTTTAACATTGCTGTGTCAGAATCCTTGCTTCTAAAATACAGCTATACTTTAAAATGCTCAATTTTTAAGTACACACACACACACACACACACACACGCACATAAACACACACACCAGCTCAAGCGCACGTCCTTTCTCACAGTTTTCACATTCAATGTGACACACACGTGACATCTCCAGATCCAAATAACCAGAGGAAAACCTCATCTCCGGGGTCTTTATAAAATATGATGCACAGACTTATTAATAATTCCTACTTGTCTTCCTCGTGATGAAGAGTTTAGGCAAAATCTGATATGTAGCGGAGGAAAAAAAATGAGTTTGTCAGATGTTGGATTCGAACCGGGTTCATGCGTCAAAACATGTTACCATGCGTTTTACGAGCTACGCCACTCACGCTGTTATGGATGCTGCAAAGTTAGTGTGCTTTCACACCTGTGAATCGATTTAGTTGTTCCGAAACAGTGATTAAAATTGTTACATTGTTGCTCTTTGCTCTTGGAGCGGTTCGCTTTCACACTGCAAAGTTTCTAATCAGACCAAAAGAGCTAAAACAAGTCACGTGCGAGTAAACTCTACTCACATTGGTCAGAGTGTCAGGGTTTATTTTGCAGCGTCCCGCTCAGCTATCAGGAGAGGTGGTGGTTTGGTGGTGATTGACAGGGTGCGCGCGACGTGTCTGAGGAGAGACGCGGTGGGGAGGGGTGAGAAGGGTGCGCGGCGATGCCTATTTGAGGACTGGGAGAGGGACGCGTGATTACCGGGAGATCATCACTCGTTTGCGGGCATCCGGAGACTCGCGAAACTTTCCGCCCTACTCATAATTCTCTCTTCATACAGCCGTAAGCCTATTACATATCCATAAAACACTGTGATATAACCGCGCTCGGATCGGATCGCTTTCTCACTGCAATCGAACCGCTCCAGGGTTCGTTTCAATCGAGCCGAGACCCACTTATTCAAGTGATCTCGGAGCGATTACTTTGGCGCGGAACAGAGCGCGATTGCCCTGTTCAGATATGCCAAATGAACCGCGCTAACTGGGCAAACAAGATACGTTCCGAAACAAAAGTGTAGGTGTGAAAGCACCCTAATACACCTTTACATCGCACTATTTCTTTTTTAATCCACTCAGTGCGATGTTCAGATTTAACTGTGTTACCCGCATCAGCTAAACTCTCCCACTCTATTTTTTTTCTTTTGTTATTAATTCTGGAGGACAAACTTGCAAATAACACCGCTTTTCTCCGGTCTACCTCCGAAAGCAGCACCTCCAATTCACATTCTGTTTAAAGTTTCTCTTTTGCTTGCTTTTGCTTTTTCGTTGGGTTTTGCCAAAGTAGAGTCATTAGCATATTCATACGGGGGAGGAGGCAGGGAGGGGTTTTGCACTCGTGCATGTTGCGCTCAATTTCACGTTCATTCGGTTGTACAAAGAGAACATGCGTGGGATTCGGCGTACGCAGTGTTTCATACATCAGAATTTTTTATTGCGTACGCACATTTACAGCTTTGTGCGTACGCAATGTTTTGTAGGATTTCAAAGCAAGTCTTTGTACATGAGGTCCGCTGTACTGCGCGCATTGTCTGTGTGTGTGTGTGTTTGTGTATGTGTGTGTATGTGTGTGTGTGTAATCCACTTAGAATCCAACATGGAAATCATTTTTGTTTGTTAATGGCGTTGATTGTTTAGAAACTTACATGCCTGTGTTTTTATTTCTGTAATATGGATTTTGTTGGCTAAAAAGAAAAAATTGCATAGCTTGTGTCAGTAGATGTTGGTGTGTGAGAGAAAGCTTCAGTGTGAAGGAGCCTGTGCACCTGGATCATAATGAATTAAATAAATGACGGAGGTGGCGACCTCACACACACACACACACACGCACATAAACACACACACCAGCTCAAGCGCACGTCTTTTCTCACAGTTTTCACATTCAATCTGACACACACGTGACATCTCCAGATCCAAACACCCAGAGGAAAACCTCATCTCCGGGGTCTTCATTCTTAGGATAAATGTTTGAGAAGATTCTTACGGTACTGACCATTCAGCTTTGGGGATGTGCAACATTTTAAGATATATTCGAAAAGAAAATGTTTATGTCAAATTGTAATAATATTTTACAATATTGTAGTGATGGAAAGTTCTGATCATTTTACTGACTCGGATCTTTGAGTCTCGTTCATCAAGACGAACAAATCTTTTTTCGAGTCATTTCGTTCATTTGGTTCAATTTGCCCAAATATTATTGAAATGTTACGAAGTGCTTCCAAACACATCTACAACTAGCCCAAAAGGTTGATCACACGACAAACAAGTCATAAATAGAATATAAGAAGGAGAAAATAATAATTCAATGTTGACCTGCTCTTTTGTCTATGAAGGTATTGTTGTCTCTTTGCTCAGCTCAGCTCTTCATGTCTTCAAATGTCAGGGGTTCGTTCACGTTACTTTGACAGTCACATATAATCTTAATCAAAGCACAGTCTAAGCCGATAGGAGCCATGATCGTTCATTCATCACGTGACAGAATGACTCAAACCCGAGGACTCGAGAGATGAACGGTTCAATTCTTTTTCCGGCTCTAAGCGCGTATGATTGGCTCGTGATGAACGAGTGACTCAGACCCGATAGAGGACTCGAGAGATAAACGGTTCAATTCTTTTTCCAGCTCTAAACGCGTATGATTGGCTCGTGATGAACTAGTGACTCAGACCCGATAGAGGATTTGAGAGGTGAACGGATCAATTCTTTTTCCGGCTCTAAACGCATATGATTGGCTCTTGATGAACTAGTGACTCAGACCCGATAGAGGACTCGAGAGGTGAACGGATCAATTCTTTTTCCGGCTCTAAACGCATATGATTGGCTTCTGCCAATATGATGAAGACTTTAAATTAACGATACCACCTGCACAAATGTGCGAACGCGTGGATGAATGAATCACTCCCTGAGAGGACTCGTAGTTCCCGAGTCATATTGAAGATTCGTTCAAAATGAACGAATCATTCATGAACGATTCATCACTACAATATTGCTGTAGGGGCGGCACAGTGGCGCAGTGGGTAGCACGATCGCCTCACAGCACGAAGGCTGCTGGTTCGAGCCCCAGCTGGGTCAGTTGGCATTTCTGGGTGGAGTTTGCATGTTCTCCCTGTGTTCGCATGGGTTTCCTCCGGGGGCTCAGATTTCCCCCACAAGTCCAAAGACATGTGCTGTAGGTGAATTGAATAAGCTAAATTGGCCGTAGTATATGTGTGTGAATGCAAGAGTGTATGGATGTTTCCCAGTGTTGGGTTGTAGCTGGAAGGGCATCCGCTATGTAAAACATATGCTGGATAAGTTGGTGTTCGTTCCGCTGAATTCTCCATTTAATATTATTGCTGTCTTTGAAAAATGTAAACAATCCTAAAGAGATCCCATTGTGCTGCTTCTGTCCTTCAGGCACATTTTCTGAGCACGGTATTCAAATGAGGCCTGGCTTAGATCATAATCTGTGTTTAAAAACAGCCCTCTCTAGTGCGTCCTGTAAATCTGACTCCACGTGAAGTGTGTGTGTTTGTGTGCGTGTGTGTGTGTACCTGGAGTGATGTCCCTGACCAGCAGGGGCTGCTGTGTGGAGAGAGTGAAGCCATGAGAGTTGAGCACCGCATCTCTGATCACCTCCACCGTCACCTTCACAGGGAAGTTCTGCTGGCCCGAATCCCCAGAGCGAGACCTCCTGCCTCTTAAAATACGCTCCCTTTGAGAGAACACAACCAGACAGACAGGTCAAAACACACAGATTGAGTTCAGTATGAAATATGAATGTACTGTTTAATGTGCTTTGTGCACACACTACTATATTTTAAGGAATTTCCTAAATTTTTTTCTTTTGGAGAAAGTCTTATTTATTTTAATTCAGCTAGAATAAAAGCAGTTTTGAATTTTTTAAAAACCATTTTAAGGTCAATATTATTAGCCCCATTAATGTAGGGCCATAAACACTGAGCGGCCACTTTATTAGGTACACCTGTCCAACTGCTTGTTAACGCAAATTTCTAATCAGCCAATCGCATGGCAGCAACTCAATGCATTTAGGCATGTAGACATGGTCAAGACGATCTGCTGCAGTTCAAACTGAGCATCAGAATGGTGCAGCAAGGTGATTTAAGCGATTTTGAACATGGCATGGTTGTTGGTGCCAGATTGGCTGGTCTGAGTATTTCAGAAACTGCTGATTTACTGGGATTTTCACGCACAACCAAAGGGTTTACAAAGAATGGTCAGATAAAGAGAAAATATCCAGTGAGCAGCAGTTCTTTGGGCGCAAATGTCTTGTTGATGCCAGAGGTCAGAGGAGAATGGCCAGATTGGTTACAGCTGATAGAGAGGGAACAGTAACTACAGCCGAGGTCTGCAGAAGAGCATCTCTTAATGCACAACACGTCCAACCTTGAGGCGGATGGGCTACAGCAGCAGAAGACCACAATGGGCTTGTATCAATGGTTCAGGCTGGTGGTGTAATGATGTGGGGGATATTTTTTTGGCACACTTTGGGCCCATTAGTACCAATTGAGCATCGTGTCAACACCACAGCCTACCTGAGTATTGTTGCTGACCATGTCCAGTCCTTTATGACCACAGTGTACGCATCTACTGATGGCTACTTCCAGCAGGATAACGAGCCATGTCATTAAGAATGAATCATCTCAGACTGGTTTCTTGCACATGACAAGGAGTTCACTGTACTCAGATGGCCTCCACAGTCACCAGGTCTCAATCCAATAGAGCACCTTTGGGATGTTGTGGAGCGGGAGATTCGCATTATGGATGTGCAGCCAACAAATCTGCAGCCACTGTGTGATGCTATCATGTTTATATGGAACAAAATCTCTCAGGAATTTTCCAGTACCTTGTTTAATCTATGCCATGAGAGAGGCAGTTCTGCAGGCAAATAAGTCCATCGCGGTACTAGTAAGGTGTACCTAATAAAGTGTCCGGTATTTTGATTGTTAAATTCAACATTAACTACTAGAGTAACTTAACAAACAAAGAATTTTCTTAAGAATATCCCAGTCAAATCAGTGTAAAAAAACATGACACGATGTTGCTGTATGTCGACAGACTCTAAAACACATGGCGATGAGAATAATTGCCTGATGAACGTGTGCTTGCGTGGCAGGAGATGATTGTGTTTATAGCAGCGGGTGGAAGACAAATCAACTACAAGCCTTCGGCAGATGGATGCACTAAAAAAATCCCAAAACCATTCACTGGTGAGATCGTTTAGGAATAGTTTTAGCACAGTTTATATTTGAGGAACTAGAAAATATTTGCCAGCAAAACCTTGATGTAGATGTAAACACCTACTGTAGCACACTGTACTGTGAATGTATTGTAGTATTTACATTTTGTTAATGAAGGATCCAGCATACAACGTTTGTGTCGGTTTTAAAGTGTATCATACGATCTGTGCGTGTGTGTGTGTGTGTATGTGTGTGCGTGTGTGATAGAGTATGTGTGATATAGCTCCACCTGCTGAGAGAGTCTCGAGAGCGCCGCAGCCATTTTCCCACCACCTGCTCCACCCGGCCGACCCTGCGTGGAGATCGACTTCTGCTTCTCTCGCTCTCCTCCATCTAACTAAAGCACAGAAACACACAGAGAAGGAAAGAGGATTAAACACCGTACTCAAACTCAACATCACAATCAGACACATTTACCTTCCAAAACACCAGTGAGGCCAAAATGTAGTTCACGTTGGGGTTGAGAGATGTCGACCAATTTGGCATCGTACGATGTCTAATGTGAAACATCGCGATGGGCGATGGCATCGTCGTCGTAGGCGGCAGTGAATTAATGATTAATGAATAATAAATAAATTTATAACAAATTAATTATTTGTAGTTTACCATTTAAACTACCTGACCTACATGGTGTTTGTTTAACCCATAACCAAATCGTAAATAAATAAAGAGAATTTACACACAAATTACCACCTGTCAATCACTTTTTCCGCAGGACTCTGGCATGAGTGATCAGTGTCGTTATAATGGCGTCTACAAACATAGTTGTTAAAAAAAGGTGCAGGGCCGTGCAGAGACCCACATAGAGGCAGGTGCTCAACGGGTAACCTGGGGCAGAATCGAAGCGAAGTGAAAACCGAGAATTGTAGATCGCTAAGTAAAGACTGGGGGCGGATCATGAAGTGAAGACCAAGGTTGTGGGGGAGGGGGGTGGTTGTGGAAGATCGGGATGGGGGTTGTTTGGAGATTGCCAAATGAAGATTGGGAGGTGGGGGTGGTGGGGGGTGGGGGGTGGTTGTTTAGAGACAGCTAAGTAAAGACTGGGGGCGGACTGCAAAGTGACCTTATAATCAGACATCCCAAGTCTTTCGGAAGTTGCGGGAGTATCCCGCAAATGCATAGAGACTCCCGGATGTCCGCAAATTAATGATAATCTCCTGGAAATCACATGTATCCTGTCCGGTCCTTAAATACGTTGCACACCCCTCTCTCCACTGTATCCCTCCTAGGTTTTCAGGTACGGTGTGCGCAACTCACCTACACCGCTTTAAAGGTACGTCGCGCGCAACTCAACCACACCACTCTTCAGGTACGTCGCGCGCAACTCAACCACACCACTCTTCAGGTACGTCGCGCGCAACTCACCCCCACCGCTCTTCAGGTACGTCGCGCGCAACTCACCCACACCGCTGTTCAGGTACGTCGCGCGCAACTCACCCCCACCGCTCTTCAGGTACGTCGCGCGCAACTCACCCACACCGCTCTTCAGGTACGTCGCGCGCAACTCACCCCCACCGCTCTTCAGGTACGTCGCGCGCAACTCACCCCCACCGCTCTTCAGGTACGTCGCGCGCAACTCACCCCCACCGCTCTTCAGGTACGTCGCGCGCAACTCACCCACACCGCTCTTCAGGTACGTCGCGCGCAACTCATCCACACCGCTTTTCAGGTACGTTGCGTGCAACTCACCCCCACCGCTCTTCAGGTATGTCGCGTGCAACTCACCCCCACCGCTCTTCAGGTATGTCGCGTGCAACTCACCCCCACCGCTCTTCAGGTACGTCGCGCGCAACTCACCCCCACCGCTCTTCAGGTACGTCGCGCGCAACTCACCCCCACCGCTCTTCAGGTACGTCGCGCGCAACTCACCCACACCGCTCTTCAGGTACGTCGCGCGCAACTCACCCCCACCGCTCTTCAGGTACGTCGCGCGCAACTCACCCCCACCGCTCTTCAGGTACGTTGCGTGCAACTCACCCCCACCGCTCTTCAGGTACGTTGCGTGCAACTCACCCCCACCGCTCTTCAGGTATGTCGCGTGCAACTCACCCCCACTGCTCTTCAGGTATGTCGCGCGCAACTCACCCCCACCACTCTTCAGGTACGTCGCTCGCAACTTACCCCCACCGCTCTTCAGGTATGTTGCGTCATGCGCAACTCACCCACACCGCTATCAGGAATGTCGCGTTGCGCGCAACTCACCCCCACCGCTCTCCAGGTATGTTGCATTGCGTGCAACCCATCCCCCCGCTCTTCAGGTATGTCGCGCGCAACTCACCCCTACTGCTCTTCAGGTATGTTGCATCGTGCGCAACACACCCCCACCACTATCAGGTATGATACGATGCATGCAACTCATCCCCACCGCTCTTCAGTTATGTCGCGTCGCGCGCAACACACCCCCACCACTGTCAGGTATGTCACGTCGCGCGCAACTCAACCACCCCCCTTTTCAGGTACATCTCGCACCCACACGTCCCCCTACTCAGATACGTCACTCACTCAATCACCCCCCACTACCCCCTCCCTCCAACCCACCCCCCTCCCCTCCCCCCTTCAGGCACCCACTTTTCCTGCTACCTCCCGCAAATCAACTCTGTATCCCCCGAAAATTACTTTATACAACTTAAAATAAAATAAAATAAAAATTCAAACTGCTTATATGCGCAACTCACAGAGCCGAAATAAAACAAATCAGACTTTCTCCAGTTTCTCTCCTCTGTTAAACATCATTTGGGAGATATTTGAAAAAGATATTTATATAATATCATATCATATATAATATTAGAGAATAATTTTGACTTTCTATCAATCGTTAATGTATTTCATGCTAAAACATGCCCAAATTCCACCCTCCTTCATTCATATTCTCAACACTCTCTCTCTGCTGTGTGTCTGTGGTGGGTTTTTTATATGCTAATACGCTTGGCGCAGTCATGAGGTGACACCAGGCCTGGCATTTAGAGGACAGTGTACGTCACAGCAGACAACATATCACATGCGTAATTACATCACACGTCGACAGACGACAGGAACACACGCCGCCCTTACGCAACATGCACGCACATAATCTGTCTAATTACCTGAGCGTCTCCTCTGGACATCTGCTGCTGCTGAAGTGTGTTTTATCTCTGCGTTCAGACACAAGGGAGCCCTTACACACACACTCAATCACTCACAAACCACAACTGCTCCAAACCGCACTCTAAACTGTGTGTGTGTTTGTGCTTACTAACACATTCTGGCCGGCTGATCAATATGCAGAGTTGTCTTGCTCTGGGTTTCGTCAGGCTCCGAATAATCTGCTTGATTATGCGCTGATTTGCGGGCTGCAGGGCATGCTGGGACGGGCCGTTTGACCTTTTACCTTTGCTCTATGAGTCAACGCTTGTGTACAGGCTCAGTGAAGATGCTGATGTTGGGTCACTGGTGAAATGTCACGTGTGTAAGCAGTGTCGGGTAGCTATTTTACTTTTCTAATACTATGTCTGGCAAGTCGGAATGAAATCAACATGTCCTCTTGGTATTTTAAATGTATATAGCAGTGCTTGTTATAAATTATGTATCTGTGACCTTCATTACTTTGTACGAATTAATGTGCACTCATAATCTTTAATCAAATATCATAACCTTCTCTCCCCCTTTAAAACAACTTCACATCACTTCTGGTCACAAGGTATGTCTTTAGGACGGGGCTATCAGTCATTTAGGGCGGATCTATCAGTCTTTTAGGGTGTGGCTATTAACCCTTTAGTATAGGGCTATCTGTACTTTAGGGCGTGGCTATCAGACCTTTAGTGCGTAGCTATCAGACCTTTAGGGTGGAGCTATCAGATCTTTAGGGCGTGGCTATGAATCCTTTAGTATGGGGCTATCAAACCTTTAGGGCGGAGCTTTAAGACCTTTAGGGGGGGACATTTTGTACTGTGGGTGTGGCTTTTAGACCCTTAGAGTGGAGCTATCAGACCTTTGGGGCGGAGCTATCAGTAATTTTGGGCATCGCGAACACATTTAGGCCTGATATCAGTATCAGACATATCAGTCCTTTAGGATGGAACTGTCAGTTCTTTAGGGCACAGCTATCAGATCATTAGGGGGGAGCTATCAATCCTTCAGGGCGGAACTATCAGTTCTTTAGGGTGTGGCTATCAGTCTTTTAAGGTGGGTTTATCAGTCCCTTAGGTCGTGTCTTTTAGCTCCTTAGGGCCTGTCTATCAGTCCCTTAGGGAGTGTCTATCAGTCCTTTAGGGCGGAGCCATCAGACCTTTAGGGTGGGGCATTTTCTACTGTAGGGAGTGGCTTTTAGACCCTTAGGGTGGAGCTATCAGACCTTTGGGGCGGAGCTATCAGTAATTTTGGGCATCGCTTATAGACATTTAGGTCTGACCTATCAGTCCTTTAGGGCGGAACTGTCAGTTCTTTATGGCACAGCTATCAGACCTTTAGGGTGGAGCTATCAGATCTTTAGGGCGTGGCTATGAATCCTTTAGTATGGGGCTATCAAACCTTTAGGGCTGAGCTTTAAGACCTTTAGGGGGGGACATTTTGTACTGTGGGTGTGGCTATTAGACCCTTAGAGTGGAGCTATCAGACCTTTGGGGCGGAGCTATCAGTAATTTTGGGCATCGCGAACACATTTAGGCCTGATATCAGTATCAGACATATCAGTCCTTTAGGATGGAACTGTCAGTTCTTTAGGGCACAGCTATCAGATCATTAGGGGGGAGCTATCAATCCTTCAGGGCGGAACTATCAGTTCTTTAGGGCGTGTCTATCAGTCCCTTAGGGAGTGTTTATCAGTCCTTTAGGGCGGAGCCATCAGACCTTTAAGGTGGGGCATTTTCTACTGTAGGGAGTGGCTTTTAGACCCTTAGGGTGGAGCTATCAGACCTTTGGGGCGGAGCCATCAGTAATTTTGGGCATCGCTAATAGACATTTAGGCCTGACCTATCAGTCCTTTAGGGCGGAACTGTCAGTTCTTTATGGCACAGCTATCAGACCTTTAGGGCGGAGTTATCAATCCTTTAGGGTGGAACTATCAGTTCTTTAGGGCATGGCTATCAGATCGTTAGGGGGGAGCTATCAATCCTTCAGGGCGGAACTATCAGTTCTTTAGGGCGTGGCTATCAGTCTTTTAAGGTGGGTTTATCAGTCCCTTAGGGCGTGTCTTTTAGCTCCGTAGGGCCTGTCTATCAGTCCCTTAGGGAGTGTCTATCAGTCCTTTAGGGCGGAGCCATCAGACCTTTAGGGTGGGGCATTTTCTACTGTAGGGAGTGGCTTTTAGACCCTTAGGGCGGAGGTATCAGACCTTTGGGGCGGAGCTATCAGTAATTTTGG